AAAGGGCCCAATATATAACATTCTTCTTTCCTGTCTGAATTCTGCCCACTTGAGAAATAAGGAAAGCAGAAGATACCACATTTACTACGAAATATAGCAGATTCTGGAGAATGTGGCTTATAAGTGCAAGCACAGGACTGAGTAATATTGAGCCCCAGAATGAGACTAACATAACACACACCATTAAAGGCACAGTTGGATGCCACAAGCTTTCTCTCATGTAGTTCTATCACTGTAAAACTTAAGGGATAGAAGAGCAGAGTGGAACATAGTCTCTGAGGTAGGCAAACTTCCAAAGAGATAGGGAGAAGAAAGGGGCTGACTCCAGTTTACCTTGCCAAACTCACCAGTCAGATTGAGTCACTCCTCTTCACCTTCAAAAAACAAATGAGGGTATTGGGGGAAGGCTGAGAGGGTTAAATCTGGGAAACTTTTTCCACATGGAAGAAAAAAATCAGGAGTGGAAGAAAGAATTCCATGGGGTTATTCCAGTATGAGAATATACCATGTTTTTGCAAATAACATTGAAAATAAGTGAAGGACTTTAACTTCTTTGTAATGAAAACAAAATTATATGTAGACTCAATCATTGGAACAAATATTTATTGAACATTATGTGCCCTTGATTGTGCTAGATGTGAGGCTGATAAAAAAATGAACAGGAAGCAGAGGGAATTCTCAGTCAAATGGGATAGACTGACACACATAACTGTCATAGAATATGATTAATGATATAACAGAATTATGAACATACTCTCTATGAACACAGAGAAAGGAAAAGTGGAGGAGACTTTTCACAATTTTTTACATTCATTTATTCATTTATTTATTAATGCCTCTTCTATGCCAAGCTCTGTACCAATGTCCTAACGATGAGGGTACACTGGTAAACTGAGTGGACCAGACCCCTTCTCTTGCTGAGCATACGGCAAAGATGGATACTGACAAAATAAATCACACAAATATGTAATTACAAAATAGAATCTGTGCTATAAAGGAAAAATATGGGGTGCTACTTAAAAAAATAACAGAGGGAAGCCTTCTCTGAGCCAACATTTCAACTGAGATCTAAAGGACAGGAAATGTTCCACCTAGGTAGGAGACAGGCAGGCAGAAGGGCTAGCAGGCAATTTAGGGAGAAGGAAAGGCAGAGACAGGGGTCCTTAAATGGAAAAAAGCTTGGATTACTTGAGGGAGCAGAGTGAAGAGGGGACCATGGCTGAAAATAACATCACCGAGGTGGTCAGAGGCCATGTTGTGACAAGGCCATACTAAGGACTTTAGGTTTTATTATGCTCATTATGAAGCCATTGAATGACTTTAATAAGCGGGTGACGTGACTCAGTTTACCATGGACTGGCCTGTTCCAGAGTGGATGAATGGGAAAGAAGTAGAGAAGCAGGGATACTGTTGCTGCGATCCGGGTTAGAGAGAGTAGTGGCTAGGACTAGGAAGTTAGCGATGGGGAGACAGAATTGGAAGGATTCAAGAAATATTTTGCAGACAAAATCAATAAAATTTGGTAATGGATTAGGGTAGGGTGAGAATGATGAGGTTTGTAAATAGGTCAAAAATGGCTGCTACATTTTAGATTTGAGCAAAACCCACAAAAAATGACATGTGAGCGGGGCCTTAAGGACTAAGTTGGATTTTAGTTCTTGGAGAAGAAAGATACAGACGTGTGAAGTCCTCTGACATATTTGGAATTCCATAAATAGTACTCTGGTGCACTAGTAGTATAGGATATATGATAAAAATGCAGGGAGATAATGGAAGGGACAGATTATGAAGACCTTTGAACTTCCCATTCAGGTACTAACCAGGCCTGACCCTGCTTAGCTTCTGAGATCAGACCAGAACGGGCATGTTCGGAGTAGTTATGGTCACAGACAAGACCTTTGAACTTCTGATAAGACTTTAATTTTTGCTCTTTTGCTTATTTAATCAGGGCAGCATCACTTCGGATCTAGGTATATATTAAACTGTTGGGTATTCAAGGACTGGAGCTTAGAAAAGAGAGATTTGGGACAAATATTTGGAAGTTCTCTACATGTGATAACTAAAACCATTAGAACATGTGAGCTAGCCTATAAAGAATACAAAGTAAGAAGACAATCAATGATTAGCCTTTAGGGATCCCCTGCATTTAAAGGACAGGTGGAAGAAAAAATGAGAAATAAGCTTTAAAGTCACGAAATCCACCTAGATAATATGAAGTAAAAATGTATACGTAATTATATAATTATATCTAATTATAGAGCATTTTCTACGTTCCAAACACTGTTCTAAAGGCCTTATATATATTAAGTTATTTCTTATTTTTACTATAATCTTGTGAGGTAGCTGCTATTATGAATCTCATTTTGTAGATATCGAGACTGAGGCAGAGAGACAAGTTAAACTGTTTGTCCAAGGCTACTAATTTAGTAAATGGCAGAGCTGGGATTCTAAGGGGTTTATAATCTTAATCTCTATGGTTACTGCCTCTCAAGAACCTGAGACTTATCATTTTTATCCTCCCTGAACTATATGAAAAAAAAACAATAACAACAACAACAACTAGATCAGTTACAGTTGTACAATCTTCTGGGAGCTTCTTATGAATTAACCCAAACTTTGACTATAAGTGTTAATCATAGCAATAATCTACACGTTAGCTGACTTAACAGGTGTTAATTAACGATCCCACACTCTTCAAAATAGAATCTTTTAAATAAATAAGCATCTTGTTATTTGTAAATAGGAAAAGATTACCTCACGGAGAGACCATTAACCACTGTGAATGTAAGTACCAATTCTCTGCAATAATGGATGACATCAAGGTAGAGTCCAACAAATAACCTGAACATGGCAGATTAACTTAAAAAATCATTATGAAAGAATTCCAATAATATAGACAGAATAAAATATGCATAAAAATTCCCAATTACTAAAAGTAGAAACAATAAGCTCATAGAAATAAACTAATATTAATTTTTTTATAATTGCTTTCTTACTGGTTAGAGTTTAATAAAAGTAGAAGTACAATTATAATAACCTTAAAATAAAACTGGTTCTCAACTGGGGACAATTATACCCAACCGTCTCTGCCCAGGGGACATCTGGCAATATCTGGAGACATTTTTGGTTGTCGAGGCTGGGGTGGAAGGTGCTACTGGCCTCTAGCAGGCAGAGGCCAGGGATGCTATTAAACGTCTCAAATTGCATAGGATTGTCCTCTCACAACAAAGAATAACCTGGCCCCAAATGTCAACAGTGTGAAGTTTGAGAAACCCTGCCATAAAAATAGCATCTATACCAATAGAAGTTAAACCTGAAAATTTAAGAAAAAGGCAACAGAATTCAGTATACATTTGGACACACAGATGAAAAAGAATATTCCAAAGTTTAGGGATAAAACCTGCTTAATTTTGCCCTTCATGATATTGAATAAATGTCATATCATTTTTTTGCCATCATTAGACTCTTGCTATCCTAATTATAAGACTTATGGCCCTAAATTCCTGAAATCATTACATTCAGTACCGTGACTTGATTCTTTACACTTGAAATAACTTTCATAGAACATACTGGTTGGCAAACTAAGCTACACATATCAAATAATCTGAAGTGGGAACTGGTAAATAATTGGTATTTCATTTAATAACTGCTGAAATGCAAAAAATGGACAATGTATATAGACTGATGTTTCTTTCTATTCAGATTTCCTCTGTCACCATCTGTGAAGGAAAAAAACACTCTAACAGACTTTGTGTGTTTAATTTTAACCCAGGGCAAATTTTTATGACTCAGTGATAAACCCACAAAACTGGAGTTCACATCGGAAGCCCTTACACTACTAACCGTAACGATACCAGTGGGCATTATCATTTTTAAAAGTGTAAAAAAATCAATGAGCAGATTGTCATTACAGAAACTCATCCTGCATCACACATATCACCCAAGAGATTGATATTTCATGCTTATAAAACTTAACATAAAATTAAATTGCAAATATTTTATCACAATCTACTAAAAGTACGGCCTAAGGCAATACACTGCTAATATGAAGCATTTGTTCAGCTCTAGCGGACATATTTCTATATGATTTATGTAAAAGAAGGCTTCATTTGCTTCTCATAGTTTCAATAATGAGGTTTTTTTCCTTGTATTTAGCCTAGAATGTATATGAACATCTTTGAAATGAAGCCAGCAAATATAACATTGAATTATTAATAAATAATAGTAAAATTAATAAACCAAAGGCTTTCTCTTGGCTATTTCAAACGCCAGCCTTTCTTTCATTATCCAAATACATAAAAAGCATCTAAACATTCCATACAGAAAATACATTTCATTCTTTCAGCATCAAACCGGTAGTAATAACTTTCAAAAAAATGGGAATTTGTGATTTTTTCCCCTTAGATCTAAAGAGATAAAAGACAATTTCAATCATTTTTTTAAAAGTTATGAATACGGGCACCTGAGTGGCTTAGATGGTTAAGCGTCTGACCGCGGCTTAGGTCATGATCTCGGGGTTCGTGACTTTGAGCTCCATGTCGGGCTCTGTGATGACAGCTAACAGCCTTAAGCCTGCTTCAGATTCTCTGTCTCCCCCTCTCTCTGACCCTCCCCTACTCACTTCTGTCTCTTCCTCTCAAAAATAAATAAACATTAAAAAATTTTTAAATAAATAAAAATAAAAAGTTACGAATAACAGAAAGGGAGGTTGTGGAACCAATCAATACTTTGTCTCAATCTATTGGCATGTGAACAGCACTGAGTCCATGGGGTAGAAAGAAAGATAAAACTGATTTCACTATTATCAACATTGTGAAACTTACATGTAGTACTTTTTAGCTAGTGAAGCGTTTCCTCATTAGCATTCTTCACAATACACATATAAGGAATTAATGTCTTTATTTGGAACTTAAATTACACATTTAATTTTATGCTGAAATCTCTTTGACAACATGAAAAATTACTAGATTTTATACCAAAATATAATAGGGAATTCTTACCTTAAGCATTCAGCATCATTTTGAGGCTTTTCATTGATTTTTACTTTTTCTGCCTCTAGGTATTTGGTAGTACAAATGGCTTCATTCTTTTTATCTTCAAAAACTAAAAAGTTAAGAAAATGCTTACAATTAAAAAAAAACATAAGAGTGACCTTCATTCATTCTTAAGAACAATACTCAAAGTTTTGGTGCTTTATATAAAATGTATACACTAATGATTTTTATTTTCCTACTTTAACATAGCAATTAAAGGCACAAAAAAGATCTTAAAAAATTTTATGACATTAAACTATCAGATCTCAGGGCGCCTGGGTGGCTTAGTCGGTTAAGCGTCCGACTTTCGCTTAGGTCATGATCTCGCGGTTCGTGGGTTCGAGCCCCGCGTCGGGCTCTGTGCTGACTGCCAGCTCAGAGCCTGGAGCCTGTTTCAGTCTGTGACTCCCTCTCTCTCTGACCCTCCCTTGTTCACGCTGTCTCTCTCTCTCTCCTAGAAATAAATAAAACATTAAAAAAATAAAATAAAAAACTATCAGATCTAACACTTATAATTTTAGTATTTTACCTATTGCTTTTTTATACCAATAATAATACTATATCCCTATAACTTAGTACAATCTGAAAGACTAATATGACCCTGTTACATGTAGTTAACTATATTCATCAGCAAAATAAACTAGTTCATAAAGATACTACCCTTAAGTTTTCTCTGCAGAGTAAATAATTCTTGTATTAATTCACTCTTTTGTTTTTGAAGTTCACTTAACTGGCCACTGTCATGTTCCATTGACTTCATTTCTAGAAACAAATAGACAAATAAAAACTGCATTTTAACCATTTAGGCTTTGCCTTAAACATGTCAGCAATTATTAACATTGTGTGTGTGTGTGTGTGTGTGTGTGTGTGTGTGTGTGTGTGTGTGTGTGTAGTAATAATTTAAGCAGCATATGGTCAATTTTAGGCCCCCAAAAACTTCCTTTGGCCATTTACAAACTGTTTCTAATAAACTGACCAGGATTCATTAAGCAACAACTAGGTACAAAAGAATTAGTTAACTGATGGTTGGACCACCAAAATTAATTCAAAATAATATAATATCACTAAGTAAAACAAGATTCCCAATAAGATAATAAGAAAACTATACCCTTCGTAACTAAAGCATATTTAAAATGACATTCCCCAGTACTCACTATATGGCTACAAACTTCCACAGTATTTGTAATACTATTTCTTCTACCTAGAATGCCTTTCCTCTCTTTACTCCCACAATAAACTCCAATTCATCCTTTAAGATGCATCTCCTAATTTTTCAAAAGGTAAACAATAAATTCAGATGCAAAATTTCTAACACATGACACTAAATAATTAGCTACCTTCCTTAATTTACTAAGAGCTCATATAAATCAGTAAGAAGAAAAATGCAGAAAGATGAACAAAGAACATGAGCAGACTGTTCACAGGAAAACAAAAAGAAATATAAATGGTCAATAAATTCAGATAAATAAATTCAACATCATGCAACAATCAAAGAAATGCTAATTAAACCAACACATAAAATAATATATTTTATTTGTCAGATTGGCAAAGATTAAGGTCAGTCATAATGCCCAGACTGGTAGTGGTAGAGGATAATCATATAGGAAAACAGGAACTCACCTATAGAGTTGGTAGGAAAATTAATTAATTCAGTGCTTTAAGGAATATAATTTGGTATTGAGCCTCTTAATATTTTCCTCTGATCTAGCAGTGTCTTTAGTAGATTTTACCACACAAATAGAGTCACAGAAGTATAGGGAGATATATACTCAGATAGTTAGAGGCCCCTATTGATGGTCATGTCATGTGGGTTGCCTTCTGATTTTTATTTTATTTTTACGTTTTTTTTAATGTTTATTTATTTTTGAGAGAGAGAGACAGAGTGTGAGCTGGGATGGAGAGACAGGGAGACACAGAATCCGAAGCAGGCTCCAGGCTCTGAGCTGTCAGCACAGAGCCCGACATGGGACTCAAACTCACAAGCTGTGAGATCATGACCTGAGCCGAAGCGTAACAGACTGAGTCATCCAGGCGCCCCAACCTGATTTTTAGTTTTATCTTGTTTTGTTTTCTTCTAAAATTACCACCAGTCCTTCTACCTGTGCACCTTCCTATCTTCTCTGGGAACTATGCTTCCCTCTTGAATTTTCACCTCTACTTCTCCATGGTCTTTGATCCACCAGCATTTAATATGTTCAAATACCTCTCATATCAAAACAACATTTCTCCACTAAAAACCCTCCACTGACCTCACACCACTCTGGCTTACTGGACTCTCTATCTTCTCCAGAGAAACTTAGCTTCAAGGACTTGTGTACACTCATGACCACCATTTCCTCTTCTCCCACTGCTCAACCCATTTCACAACCTGGTTTCTGCCCTTTCTTACTACCTTCATCTGTTGGCTTTCCCTAAAGATAAGGAGGGACCTCCAATTTGCTGCTTCGTAGTCCTTATGGACAGATTGGCAGCAAGTAATGTGGATTGATCACTCTCTCAAACGCTCTCTCCCCAAGGTGAATTCCTCGTCACACAGTAATGTTTCCTGCCTACTTCTCAAGCTCTTTGCTGACTTTTTCCTTTTCCTTGCTTTGAAAATCATGGTGTTCCTCAGGGTTTTATTATTTTATTTCAATAATTTTTTCCTGGATGACTCCCAGATTTAATAGTTGCAGCCCAAACCTCTCTCTGTGCTCTTGACTTATACACCCAACTTTCCAACATTTACACTCAGATCTGTCACTTGGCTAATCTCTATCAGCCTGAGACTTCAGTCTGAACGTCACTTGCTTGGAGAGATCTTCTTCAACTCCTAGTCCACATTAAGTTCCCTTATTATATGTTTTCACATCATTTTATACTTCTCCTTTTGAAGCAGTTATTAATTCATAATTATCTCTTTCATACTGTTGGAGACAGAGCATTAAACAAAACGAAGTCCTGCCATTACAGAGTTTAAAGTCTCATATAAAAATGCTATAAGGTACCTAGAGCCAGGCTTTGTGAAAGTACAACGACCAACAGTACCAGGTACCAAGGAAGCAAATCTACTAAAATAAATTCATATTTCTGGAAGAAAGGACACAAAATACAAGGCTCCTACAGTATTCTGGTATCAAGGACTTTTTTCTTCATTTTTATATATGAATACTTTACATAAAGTACATCCATTTACAACATACAATCCTATGAGTTTTGGCTGTCACAATACACTCCTGAAACCACCACCACAATCAAGAAATTATATATACAATTTTTATCAATCCCTAAAGCGTCCGCTGCATCTTTACAATTTGTTTATTCTCACCCAGGCAACCACTGATTGGCTTGTCACATGCCTGCTTGTTGTCACATACAGTTTGCATTGTATGTAGTATGTGTTCTTCTGTATCTAGCTTTTTTCATTCATAGTATCATTTTGAGATGCATCCATGTTGCCTATAAGCAGATGTTTTTTATATCACTGAGTATTCCTATGGCAATTTTGTTTATCCGTTTACCACTTAATGGACATTTAAGTTATGTTCAGTTTTTGGCTGTTGTGAATAAAGTTACTAAAAACTTAGTGTGGACGTATGTTTTAATTCTTTGGTGTATCTAGTTGTAGAAGGGCTGGGTCATACAGTAAATGTATGCTCTATGTTTTAAGAAATTGCAAAAACAATTTTCAAAAGTGGTTGTACCATTTATTTTACATTCTCATCACTACCATATTAATTCCAGATGCTTCACATTCTTGCCAACACTTGACGTGACCAGTCTTTTTAATTTTAATTAAATGGATGTACAGTGCTTCTGCATTGTGGTTTTAATTTGTATTTTCCTGATGACTAAAGATGTTGAGTATCTTTTCATATGTCATTGGTGCATGCCCTTTTGTGAAGTTCAAATCTTTCCCCCCTTTTATAACCAGTTTTGTTAACTTATTAAGTTGTACAAGTTCATTATATTCTAGATAACAGTACACTGGCAGATATATGTATTGCAAATATTTTCTCTAAGTCTGTGGCTGGTCTTTTGATTTTCTTTATAGTGTTTTTTTCAAATTTATTTTAAATCCAATGTAATTTTTTTTTTCTTTCATGGCTCATGTTTCTGTGTGTCATCTCATTGCTTATCCCAAGATGGCAAAGATTTCCCATTATGTTTTCTTCTAGAAGTTTCATAATTTTAGCTTTTATCTTTAGGTGTGTGCCCCTTCTGAGTTAACTTTTAATATGGTGTGAAGATTTAACAATAATTGTTTTGCAATGGATGTCCAATAGTTCCAGCACCATTTACTGAAAAGACTTTCCTTTCTCCATGGAATTGCCATGCTACCTTTGTTGAAAATCAACTGACCCTATATGCACAGGGCTATTTCTGGACTCCTTTATTCCAGTGGTACATATGTGCCTATTTTTAAGCCAATGACACATTATCTTGATTACTATACCTTTTTGGCAAAATTTGAAATCAGGGCATATAGACTCCTAAATTTAGTTTTTAAAAAAGTTGTTTTGGCTATTCTAGGTAACTTCCATTTCCATATAAGTATTAGAATCAGCTTGTCAAGGCATAATAAAATTTAATGGGACTTATACTGAGATTCTGTTGAACCTATGATCAATTTGAAGAGAACTATTAATAAAATTGAGTTTTCTAATCCATGAACATGACAGATCTTTTTATTTAGGTCTTCCTTAATTTCTATCAGCAATGCTCTGTAGTTTACAGTGTAGAAGTCCCTGATGTCTTTTGTTAAATTTCTTTCCATTTTGTTTTTTTTAGGCTGTTTGAATGTTATTTTTATTCTACTTTTCAATTGTTTGCTGTTAGTATATAAAAAAAGCAACTGATTTTAAAACATATACCTTGTATTCTATAGCCTTACTACATTGACTTACTAATTTTAGTAATTGTTTTGTAAATTCCTTATAATTTTCTATGTAGCAAGCATGTAACCTGTAAATAGAGGCAATTTTATTTTTATACTTTCTGATCTTTATATGTTTCTTTTTCCTTATTTCATTGAAATAGTTAAAATGGCTAGGACATCCAGAGCCATACTGAATAGAAGTGAAAAGAATGGGCATCCTTGCCTTATTCTCAATTGTTGTGGGAAAGTATTTAATATGTCACCATTATGCATGATATTGGTATTCAATATTTCACCATTAAGTGTAATAGTAGCCATAAGCTTTTCATACAGGTTATCAGGTTGAGAAAGTTCCCTTCTACTCATGGTTTTCTGAGTTATATAGGACCGTAATGATCCATTTACCAGTTCCCTTTTCCAGTCCTTTGTTACAGCTGTCACATATGCATGTGACATACAAGTATACAAACTGTCTCTACATACATTATAAATTCCACAAGACAATATATTTTTTGCTTTAAGCAATCATGTGTATTTTTTAAGAACAGGAGAAAAAATAGGTGTTTATATTTATCTCTATATTTTCCATTTCTGATTATTTTAATTCATTCAGTATGACCTGAGTTTCTCTTTAGTGTCATCTTTGCTTCTACTTAGAGGACTTCCTTTGGTATTTCTTGTTGGTAAAGCATGATGGCATTGGATTCCCTTAATTTTTACTTATCTGAAAATGTCTTTATTTTAACTTCATTTTTGAAGGATATTTTCACTGATTAGAGAAAATTTTCTTCCAATACTTTCAAGATGTTATTCCACTGTCTTCTGGATTTCATTACTTATACTGACAGGTACATAGTCATTAGATTTATTATTCCCTGTTTTCAAAATTTTCTCTTTAGCTTTT